CAGACAGGCAGAGGGCGTAGGCGAAGGGGAAGGGTACCTAGGTTGCCTTGTGCTCTAAGTTTTAAGGCTACTGGAGAGAGTAAGAGGGAGGGCTCAGGTGGCTTACACCTGGTGGCCCTTCCCTCCAGTCTATGATTGGTTAGCGGGGTCAATTTCAATTCTATTGGCTACCTTGGTACCTGGGAGGGGGAAGAAGTGAGTCCGGAGACAATGGGGCTGACTCATCGATGGACCGTGTGGATTCTCCATGTGGAATGGAAGTCCTTTGTAGTCTGGCGGAGGGGGGAGTTCGGGATGAGCCTCTCATCTGGAGACCAGGAGTCTGGGCTAACCAATGAGTTTCTGTGTTTGCTGTAAAACCTGTGTTTGCACACTCATGATAAGCTGGAGACACGGGAGCACCTCTGCAGAGATATCGGGTCAGCAGATCAACATCTTCAGCTGGCATCTTTTCCTCTCTGGGCGCCCTCAACGTGAACCTTTTATTACACAGTCTCTTTATTAGCCCTCATCATCAAGTTATTAATATAACATAGTCCAGAAATAGCCTAATATAATACTTTCGATTCCCTCCTCCCTGCCAAAATATTATGGGCTGTTATGGAGCATCCTGGGATGCCGTTTGCATGGTAACCTAAAAAGGTTGACATCACCTTACTGACCCACCACTGGGTAAAGGCCTAACCCAAGGAGGGGCCAGTTTCCTATAAGAATCCGTTCCACTCCAGCTATGGTTCTGGTTGCCTGGTGCGAGAGACATAACCTTTGTCAATAGTACCAGTGGCAATCCGCATTGGGGCTGTGACTACTGAGCCTAGTATGGTCCAGTAGTTCAGTACCCCAAACTATGGCATTCCAGTTTGCTTATGCCTGGATGGGCTAAGAAGTGACTACGACGTATGCTGATCAACTGCAACTGTGTCTTTGGGGAAAGGTAACGTTGTATTAGTGCCTTATGTTTCAGTTAGGCTGGATAAGCTAAGATCTTGTTCTTTTTTTACCTGCACTGTCTTGTCTTGTGTTTTCTTGCACCTAAATAAACTAGAAAATATTTTATTTTGATAACTTTGTGTGTTCTTTGTGTTACCAAGTCCCAAAGCCTAAATCCTGTTTGCCTAGACCTTTTTGGACCACTCCCTACCAGAAAGCCTTTTTATTTCCTTTTGATTTTTGAGCAGCAGCTTTAGTCTGCAGGTTTGTTTTGCTGTGTAAGTTCCAGAACCAGACAGGAGCTTACGGTCCCCTTCTTCCTGGGCTGTTGGGAACTGCTTAATAAGGGGCCTGGTGGCAGTTCTACCTGAAGTCTTTTGTTTAGAATTTTGTTTTGTTCTTTTGGAAACAGGAAAGAGACCTTTTCCCCTCTTTCTCCTGTTGGGTGATTTTTGTTTGCTCGGTTAAGCCCTGTGCATTTGGAAAACTTTTACACTAATGGACGATTGAGAATGGATTATTTGCTTATTACTGACTTGAGTGTGGGAGTATTGCACAAAAAAGGAAAACCACAGAAGACCTTTGACAGCGTGATTGCGAAAAATCTGAAACGCTGCTTGTCCATTAGAGTGACAGGCTACGCTAGTGCCCAAAGAAAATATTAAGCAAGAAAAATATTAACAAAAAGTTGGTTTTTAATTAAAAGGTATTAGAATGACAAATCTTTGGATCCAGGACAAACGGCTGTATCTTTTCCCTTGTCTGAAGGGATTATACTTATGACTGGATTGTTAGCCTAATATTTGGCCTAAATGCAATGCATACATTAGTATTTGAAATGACCGTGGGAAATTCATCTGCTTTCTTCCTGTTCATCTGTAGCATGGTTTGGCAAGCCATCGTTTGCTGTCACAGAGGTCTGGGTTATAAAATGGAGTGAGGGGACCCAAGCAAAGCTTCACATCACCCTCCAGAGAGCTGCAGCCATGAAGTTTCAGATTCTCGCTGCTCTCTTCTTCTTGCTCCTCGCAGTGAATGAAGCCAAAGTGTATCAGAAATGTGAACTAGTGAGGATTCTGAGAGATGAAGGCCTGGATGATTACTATGGCTACAGCCTGGGGAACTGTGAGTTTGCTTTTACTTTCTCTCTTTTTTTTTTTGGCGATTTCTTCTGCTCTCTTACAATTCTGCTTTTTTATATTTACAGTAAGTCCTGCTATACTTTCCAGATGCTTCCTAAAAGCAGTGGTCCATGGTGATTCTTCTTAACCAAGATCCTGAAGGATTCCCTGTAGCTTTCCTGTCACACCAGGTCTGATCATGTAGAGAAACAATTGCCATTTGTTATGGAGAAAGGAGTCATTGGCCCCTGCCACACGGGGGAAAAAAGAATGGCCAAAGTGCGGCTTTTTAGAGCCGCACCAAAAGAGACACGCGGCGGTGGGATCAGATAGATCCCCTGAGCCGCCGCGCAGTTTCTCCCTGGCACGATCAGATGCCAGGGGGAAGCCACTGAAGGGAGAGTGAGGCAGCCGAACTGCGCATGGGGGCGCATGCGCAGTTTGGCCAGGAGCCTCGATTGCTCCGGAAGATGGGTGCGCCGGTGATCTCATGGCTGCACTTGCTGCACCGTTTCCGGTAAGTCCTGCTCTTTTGCTGGTTCTTTTTTGCAGCGGGTTTTCCGGCTGAAGGGACAGATCAGGGACGGGTGCGCGCCGCTTCCCAGATGTTGCGGTTTATCGCGCCCGTTTGCTGCCCCCCCGATCCGTCCCTCTTCCGGGCCAAAACCTCCTGTGTGACCGGGGCCATTGTCTTGCTGATGGTGGAAAGCCTCCTCCCTGATTTTAAAACACTCTCCACCACGGTCATGAGAACTGTGTACTCCTTCATGTCTGGACTGGAGGAAGGTACAACCTTCAAGAAATAAATGTATTTTAAGACCAAACCATTGGGGAATGCCATGGCCTTGCCATGAGGGTGGACCTAGTCTAGTCACTGAATGGAACCTTTGTTTACCTCAGCCTAAGCAGTTCCATCCCATGATTGGGGCTTATACTGCTCTTCGTCTATTATATTCTATGCATTATACACCAGGCATGGGTGAGAGGCTTCCTAAATAGATTGAGATATGAAGAATCAGAAAGAAAGACAAAAATACATTTAAACAACTTGCGAATGTGGGGCCCAGGAGGTTAACTTTAAAATCAGCACCTTTCTCCCTCTCCCATGATAAACTTGGAATCACCCAACAGTCAAACCAGGACCAAAAACGGAAAAACATGACTTCATATAACATATTATTAAATTATGGCATTTGCTGCCACCAAAGGATAGGAGGGAAAGTGGCTTCGGTGAATTCACAGAGGATAAATCTATCTGTAGCTCTTAGCCATGAAAGTTACTGCTATATTTAAATGCTACAGAAGACAGTGCAGGTGGTTTTGGAGTGGCGCTATGACAGGTGGAATCATAGGCGTAATCTTCGTGGGGGCGGCGGGGCTTCAGCCCCCGCCGAAATTTTCAGGAAGCTGCTCAGCCTCCCCCGGGAGCCACCCTTAGTCCTAGCAAAGCAAGGCCGCTGGCCCAGCCCCAGCCCCCCCCGGGAAATTGGAAAGTCTACACCCTTGGGTGGAATGGCCCGTCCCTCCCTGGCTATTTTCTCATGCAAAACCTGTGATGGGTGTGAGTTATTAGGCCAATTTTGCTGTTCCATGTACAGTATCTGTGCGTGGAGTTTCTGGAGCAGCAAAATCAGCAAAATAACTCCCCCAGCATGGATTTCGTTCAAGAAATCTGCTTGCTGTGAGGAGGGTGTGTGTGTAGGGGCCCTTCTCCCCCCCCCCAGCACCATTCCAGGCCTATTTGGGCTCTGCTGTTCCCCTCAGCTGCAGCTGTGTGGCTTTAGGGGACCTGGGAAAACGAGTGTAAATGAATGAAGAAGAATGTGTAGCTCACCTCACAGTCCACCCTCTAAAGCAGCCATTTTCTTAGACAGATCATGGCTTTTTCTTAGGCAGATCATGAGACGGAGGGCAGGAAGGGCTGCACCAGTGCTTAGTTCTTGTGGCCCTTCTTTACATGCCCAGGGAAATGCTGATCACCACTTTGGGGTCAGGAAGCAATTTTTTCTGCAGGCCAGTTTGGCCAGGGATTCTGGGGGGTTTTTTTTTTTTTTTTTTGGTCATCTTCTGGACATGGCCAGGAACAGCAAAACAAAACAACCGTGAGGCATGTTTGGTCCTGTTCACAAAGAAGCAACCCTAGAGGTGCATATTAAAACTTAGGAGAACTTGCCCATAGAGAAGTTGAATAATATCATCCTGTTAAGAAACTGGTATGAGACTTCCTATGTTGTTCTTTGTTCCTGAGGAAGGACCAGGAGTCTGAAACACTATAAACTACCTACGAAAAGTGTTGGATATGCAGCAGCCAAAGCATTCTCTCACAACCTTCATGCCAGTAGCTCAGAAAGTAGAATTTTTGCTCACAAGACTCCACAGCTTAGAGGGAGCATTCTTCCAACTCTATGATTCTCCAGGGGAACTATTACTTGTCATCTGGAGATCAACTGCAATTCTGGGAAATCACCATTGGGTGTGAAAAAAAGTAAAGATTCTGATGTGCCAGTCTCTTCCCTGCAAAGCACAGTCCTCAGCAGTCACCCTTTGTTCGCCAGCACACTGACATCATCATAGGAGGATATGAATCTTTCAGTACTCAGGTCTAAAAGGTTGCCTGTGCTTGGGCTACACCTTTGTCTACAACAAGCTAGGCCTTTCCATTCCACTGCTCTGCCTGCAGCATATGGTATACGTACGTGTTGTTGTTCAGTCGCACAGTCGAGTCCGACTCTTTGCGACCCCATGGACCAGCTCCTGCCAGGTCTTCCGGTCTTCTGCCATCCTCTGAAGTTTGCTCAACTTCATGTTCGTTGCATCGATGACACTGTCTAACCATCTCATCCTTTGCTGTCCCCGTCTTCTTTGACCTTCAATCTTTCCCAGCATACGTACGTAATCTCAGTGAAAAACGATGGTGGCTTTATAGTGAAAAGGGACTGTAGTCTACTAAAGGTAAAGGTAAAGGTTCCCTTGCTCGAAAGCCAGTCGAATCCGACTCTAGGGTTGCGGTGCTCATCTCCGTTTCAAAGCCGAAGAGCCAGCGCTGTCCGAAGACGTTTCCGTGGTCATGTGGCTGGCATGACTAAACACCAAGGCGCACGGAACGCTGTTACCTTCCCACCGAAGTGGTCCCTATTTATCTACTTGCAATTTCTTGCTTTCGAACTGCTAGGTAGTCTACTACTGCAATGATTATTGTAGGCATCACCTTGCTTTTGCTGCATTCTCTTCTACTGTCCTCATTCCACTTCTACATGGCTTATAGAGCTGGGTTCAAATCCACTGGCACCTTAAAGACCAATAAAAATTTTTGGGGTAGAAGTCCTGACCTGGATACCCCAGGCTAGCCCAATCTTATCAAATCTTGGAAGAGGAAGAGGAGAAGGAGGAGATTGGATTTATACCCCAC